AAGCGTCCAGGCTACCAACTCTAGACGCTCTTGAAGTATGAGGGGATGAGGTTCCGCATCCGGATTCGTAAGGAGTGTGGGGAACGTTGGTAAGACCAGCGGGTGGTCGTGAGATAGTGCGAGCAAGTCGGGGAACCATGCCTGGCTTCTCCATAAGGGTGTTATCAGGAGCAGCGATGTCTTGGATGTGCGTAGTTTGTGGAGCACTCTTGCTAACATCGAGAAAGGTGGGAAGGCATACGCTCCCATCGAAGGCCAGTGCTGTAGAAAGGCATCCACTGCTTCGCTCTGGGGATCCGGCAACCAGCTGTAGTACCTCGGTAGTTGCGTATTCGTGCGTGAGGCAAAAAGGTATATGTGGAGTGGTCCCCTGATCGATCTCACCGTATTGAAGATCTCCGTGTCCAGATGCCAATCGCTGGAGTCCCGCCAATGACGAGAGAACCAATCCGCCGTGAGGTTGTTGAGACCTGGTAAGTATTCCGCTCTGAGGGTTATGTTGCGAGGGAGACAAAACTGGTAGATGTCCTTGGTAGCCTCCATCAATGTCCGTGATCTGGCTCCTCCCAGTCTGTTCACGTATTGGACTGCCGATATGTTGTCCATGCGTAGCAGTATACAACAATTGGACACATGTTTGGCCAGGCTGCGGATGGCGAATGAGCCGGCTATCAACTCCAGGCAATTGATGTGTAGTGACTTTTCTTCCTCCGACCAGGGACCCCCCGTGGATGCGTGTGCGCAGTGGGCTCCCCAGCCCCACAGGCTGGCATCCGATTCCAGGATGAAATCCGGGTTCGAACCGAATATGGCTCTGCCGTTCCAAGCCTCCATGTGGAGCAGCCACCAACGGAGTTCCGTCCGCACTTCCGCGGTTATCCTGATCGCTTGATCGTATGAGTGACCCTGTCTCAGGTGGTGAGCTTTCAGCCTTTGCATGGCTCGGTAGTGGAGGGGTCCCGGGAAAATTGCTTGAATGGAGGATGAAAGTAGGCCGACGATCCTGGCCAGTAATCTCAGAGGGACCATGTCCTTCCGAAGAAAACGCCGTATCTCCTTCCGAATATTCGCAATCTTCGTCTTGGGCAGGCGGAGTGTGCATGTTACTGAATCTATCTCGAATCCGAGGAACTGCACCACTTTCGATGGGGAGAGAGCTGACTTTTCCATGTTCACGATGAAACCCAAGGATTCCAGAAAGTGCACTATGAATTTCGTCTGAGAACGCAGTTTGGAGTCGTTGTTGCAGAAAATAAGTATATCGTCTAGATAGATTAGGCATCGGATCCCTCTTGTCTGTAATTGCGCCATGGCTGGCTTCAGAAGCTTCGTGAAGCACCAAGGGGCGGAGCTGAGACCAAATGGGAGGCACGTGAACTGGCATGTGCGTCCTTTCCAGTGAAATCGAAGGAACGGTCGACTGGACTGTGCCATCGGAACTGACAGATAGGCATCCTTTAAATCCAGTCGTGTGAACCAATCGTGCTCCAGTAGTAGATCTCTGTGGAGATGTATGCCCTCCATTTTGAAATGTCTGTAGGCTACGAATGAATTCAGTTCGCGTAGGTTGATGACAGGTCTGTAATCTCCTGTCTTTTTCTGAACTAGAAATATGTTGCTGATGAAACCCGTATCGTCGGGGGCGAATTCGACTGCTCCTTTGAGGAATAGTGCTCGGACCTCGTCGTCTATGAGCTTGGTGAGTTCCATCGATGTTCGTATCGGTTGTGGTCGACGTGATTGAGTCGGTGTGTGCGCGAAATCGATCTCGTATCCCCTGATCGTTTGAAGGATCCAGGCATCGGAGGATATCTTTTCCCAGTTCTGCGAAAAAAGAGACAGTCTGCCAGCAGTAACAGGGGAGAGGCACAATGGTACTTGAGGGGTGCTCACCTGTATTGAAGCGCCCGCGTCCGCGGGTACGAGCTCCTCTGGGTCTGAAGGTTCCTCTCGAGAAGGGTGGTCTCGATGGGAAGAACGACTGAGTAGTTCGAATTCTGGGGCCTGTAGGCCAGAAACGGCTGGTGGCTCGGCCCCGATGTCGACCAGCCCTGCCGAAAACCCCTCTGGTTGGAGTAGGATTACGAAAAACTTGTTTAATGGAAGTCTGGGCCTTGCTCAATGTCGTAAATAAGTTCACATGTTTCTTTAGCTCGCCAATGAAGGCTTCTCCGAATAGTTGGCCATTGGCCCGTGGCCCCAATTCTTTCTTGCCGAGTTCCAGGAGCTTGGAGTCCATCTTGAGAAGCGCGTCTTTACGTCGCTCCGCGCAGAGTGCGGCATTGGTGTTGCCCAATAAGCAGATTGCGCGTTGCGCCCATTCTCTCACATCGTGGGCGTCCAAGGTACTCCCTTGGGTAAGCGCTCCGTCTGCGAGGTACAGGATCTTAGCGAGTGGGCCAAGCATATCTAGTAACTTATCTTGCGAAGCTTTGAGGCCCTTCTCGATGCCCTTACGCGGGTCACGTCCCGTCCGTGACATGAATATGACTACCGTGGTGTCGAATTCAGGCGTGTGGGCAATCTTGTCCGGTAGGCTAGGTCTTGGACACTCGGACTTCAGTCTCGCCCGGACCTCTTTGTCCATAGGTTGTCGTAGCCAAAAATGAATGAATTGGGCCAAATGGTCCGGTAGGCCCCATTCCAATGATCTCGGGTGACGTATCGTACGTGGATCAAACAACGGATTGCCTTGGGGGTCCACGAAGGTGCCGTCCTCCAGGTCGTCTGCCTGTGTATCGGCTTTCCAGTGCCCATGACGGATGTCCTGTTCCTCGACCCGCTCCGACCCTGTGTGGCCGCGGGGTATGTCGAGCCAGTCCTCCTCCTCAGATGGGGAGTCCCCCACTCCCCATTCGTCCATAACCTCCAGCGGGGTTGGTGAGTTACCTCCCTCGTCATCGGATGATGTCAGCGGGGGTGTTGACGGATCTAAGCGGTCCGATGGGCGGCTCCTTTTGAGTGGGGCTTTGCCCTTTGCCGTCCGTGGGGCTGGGCCATTGCCCTTCCAATGTCTCTTAGGGGGAGCACTATCCCCTGAAAGCTTCTCCTGGCCTTTGGTGTCCGGGTCCCCCTGTGGGGTTTGGACCAATAGTTTCGCTATGGCCTTTTCCATTGAGGCCGCCACCGCTGAATTAATTAGTGCTTGAAAATCGGGTGGAGTTTGCTGTGAGGGTTCACCCATGTTCATGGTTGCAATCACTGTCTGTAAAGACAGGGTAGAGTCAGGTACCGAAGTACGTGAATAGTACAAGGCAGTTAGAAGGAGGTACGGCGTTCCTCCTACGACTGGGGGTCGTCTAGTGGCCAATGGGCCCAGATCAAAACCTGTTTTAGGTATTGACACTGCCTGTAAATCTGGGCTAGCGAGGGGGTCACCCTCCGGCTGACCGGACTGAGCGGTCTAGGATATAGAAAGCTCGGCTAGGTCGTAGTGCCTAGATATTGCACGGGTCGTGCCCTTAATTCAAAGCCCAGTGGGGAAGAAGTGTGACAGATTTTCCCAGTGGAAAAGGCATGAGCAGGACACCCCAGTCGTAGTATGGAGGGTGCCGACCACACGTAACAGCATAAATAGTAGGGGGGTCACCCCGCTCTTCGGATAGTATGGCACACGCCTGGGGGTCACCCAGCGCAGGGGGGGTCACCCTTGATAACAATAATAGTGTGCCAGTGGGGGGTCACCCCACTCAGAGGGGTCACCTCTGGAAGAGCTTTTTTTTTTATTATTATTGATTTGATTTATTTATTTATTTATTTGATGTGATTTATATATAGTATTCCACTAATAAGAGACAGGCAGGGTTGTTACTGGATGGTGCCTTATGTTTGTTCAGTGTCAGCAGTACAATCACAGCATAAAAGGTTTCAGGGTAATAAAAAGGGGAAAGAAAAGAATGGAATGACCAAAAAATCTCCCTCTCCCAGGCCCCCTGCCTCTATGGAGGGAACCTGGTAGGCTGAGAGTGATAGGAGTGGGGATGGAACGACGACCGTGTGAATCACGGTTTTCCCCACCCAAGATGGCCGACTTGGATCTCGCGAGCAGCGAGATCCAAGATGGCCGTTCGCGCCAAAAGCTAAGCGCGGCCCGTGATCGCGGTGATCGCAGGCCGCAAGCGAAAATGGTCCCCCCGCTCCCCCGCCCGCCCTGAACCACCCGACCGGAAGGGAGATCCCGGTCGCGGTATCCAGACGCGACCACGGCAATTTAAAGCCGCGATCGCGGCAAAGAGCCGCGAGCACCAGTGAAAGGCAGAAACAATGAGGAGGGGGGGGGGGAAGGACAGGGGAGACGTGCCAAATTCAAAACCCAGCAAGTAATAAAATAAAATAAAAGACAGTAATAAGATCACTAGTATCAAACTAACTACTGAAAACAATTAAAGCAACAGAAAATAACAATAAACAGTATAGCAACAATTACAGACAAAATCACTCTGACCTGTGTCTTGGCTGGAAGCAGCAAAGAAAGAGGAAATGGGAAGCCTGTCAGGGACTTATATACAAGAGATGCTGGACTCTGATTGGTTAAACTTTTTCTTTTCTGATTGATTGACTTGTGCTGCTGGAGGCATAAAGTAAAGAAAGTTTATGCAAAATAGGAAGCCTCCTGTCATGTAATAAAATTAGATCAGGCAGAATAGAGGAGTCTGGTGTGGGGGAATACAGATAACCTTAATGGCTTTTTAAACATTTTTTTTTTTTACAGGTGGGGAAGCCTTAATCTTCACTTAAAAAAAAGAACATACTAAGGTTAAAAAATAAATGTGTTTATTTTCAAATTTACAGTGCTCCTTTAAACATCTGCTTAATACAATGATAGACTGCAGATGAGTTATTTGACCACAGGGAGCATTGACTATTTATGTCAAAGAAATTGAAAATCTTCTGGCTAGGACAGTAACTGACCTCCAAGGGTCACCAAGATTGAATACACAACACTAACACACTCAGAGGCATATCAAATCTATTAATACATTTACAAGCCTCTGACACGTTGCCCTTGACCTCTCATGTATCCAGGCTATACATATAAAAATTGCTTGGTTCTGATGAATTGTAGCATTTAAAATTGTCTGATATTTTTAAAATCAAAACCAATTATTTATTGTTTATTTTGCATGATGCATGATTAATATTTTGCAATATTAATTACATAATGATTAATGATCACTCATACTTTAATTTTTTTGATATATCGTCTTCTTTGAGAATTTCCGTTTAATCAAGCAATCAAAGCTCATTACATAAATGGTAAGAGATTATTTTAAATTATATATTGGGGAATTAGGTTTAGAACTGCTTTTTCTGTTATTTTTTAAAAATACATTTATCAGCCATTTTATTTAAGCTATTCTGAAATTAAAAACACTCATACGTTAATAATTAAACTTATTGAATTTTTATATTCATATAATTATTTTAATACTGCTTATTGAATTGCTTAGACTACTTCTGTTGTAACAACATTTTTTACAATATAATAAAAATTGCCATAAAACTTACCTTTATTCCTGTGATGGGACAGTCTCACTCCTCTGATGATACCATCTGCGTTGGGGACATAGGCTGCATGTTCTGGAGTTGCTGTGCTCTGCCAATCACTGAAACCATAAGACATCATGATCCTGTGCTTGACAATGTCAACTGAGAAGATCTTCAATTTTCAAAGCCACTAGAGGCATGGTATGTGAGAAAAGTAAAGATTATCACTACTTTGAAACAGTAATGTTATATATTATCTGAAATATGAAAAAGCTAAACCTTTATATTTTTGACAATGGGTATCTCCTGTCTATACATATAGTAATTTGTATAACTTATTCAACAAGTTATTCTTGAATTACTTTTATCCTTTAGGCAGCACCTTGTAGTTTGCTGAGGTTTCAGAATTCTTGCAGTGCCACAAGGAATACTAAATACGATAATGCATTGTCTTAGATGAGGTTAAAATAAATGTTCTTTAAAAATGAAGTCAATGACAATGTAGTTGACATCTCTTTGGCCTACTGATTTGAATATATGTCTAATTTGTGTTTCTGCAATCAGTCACATGTTTGACCTCTTTCTTACTGAAGACAGCTTGACAGGTAATCAGCCAGCCCACGTTTCCTAAATGCCTGCATTGCTTCCCAGGTTTAATTTCAGAATATGATCTAGTTATATTGGTCAATTTATCACAGTCTCAGCATCTAAAAACGAAGTCAATGCTTTCATTCTTCATCCGTATAAGCAGTTGGCACAACTGCATATGTAGTTTGGTATATACACTGAACAAAATTATAAACACAACACTTTTGTTTTTGCCCCCATTTTTCATGAGCTGAACTCAAAGATCTAAGACTTTTTCTATGTCACAAAAGGGCTATTTCTCTCAAATATTTTTCACAAAGCTGTCTAAATCTGTGTTAGTGAGCACTTCTCCTTTGCTGAGATAATCCATCCACCTCACAGGTGTGGCATATCAAGATGCTGATTAGACAGCATGATTATTGCACAGGTGTGCCTTAGGCTTGCCACAATAAAAGGCCACTCTAAAATGTGCAGTTTTACTGTATTGGGGGATACGGGGGTCCAAATACCGGTCAGTATCTGGTGTGACCACCATTTGCCTCATGCAATGCAACACATCTTCTCATAGCGTTGATCACATTGTTGATTGTGGCCTGTGGAATGTTGGTCAACTCCTCTTCAATGGCTGTGCGAAGTTGCTGGATATTGGCAGGACCTGGAACACACTGTCGTATACGCCGATCCAGAGCATCCCAAACATGCTCAATGGGTGACATGTCCGGTGAGTATGCTGGCCATACAAGAACTGGAATGTTTTCGGCTTCCAAGAATTGTGTACAGATCCTTGCAACATGGGGCCGTGCATTATCATGCTGCAACTTGAGGTGATGGTCGTGGATAAATTGCATAACAATGGGCCTCAGTATCTCATCACTGTATCCCTGTGCATTTAAAATGCCATCAATCAAATGCACCTGTGTTAGTTGTCCATAACATACGCCTGCCTATACCATAACCCCACTGCCACCATGGGCCACTCGATCCACAACGTTGACATCAGCAAACTTCTCACCCACACGACTCCATACACGCTGTCTGCCATCTGCCCTGTACAGTGAAAATCGGGATTCATATGTGAAGAGAACACCTCTCCAAAGTGCCAGACACCATTGAATGTAAGCATTTGCCCACTCAAGTCGGTTACGACGACGAACTGCAGTTAGGTTCAGACCCCGATGAGGACGACGAGCATACAGATGAGCTTCCCTGAGATGGTTTCTGACAGTTTGTGCAGAAATTCTTTGGTTATTCAAACCGATTGTTGCAGCAGCTGTCCAGGTGGCTGGTCTCATACGATCTTGGAGGTGAAGATGCTGGATGTGGAGTACCTGGGCTGGTGTGGCTACATGTGGTGTGCGAGGCCGGTTGAATGTACTGCCAAATTCTCTGAAACACCTTTGGAGTCGGCTTAAGGTAGAGAAATTAATCTTCAATTCACGGGCAACAGCTCTGGTGAACATTCCTGCAGTCAGCATGAGAATTGCGCACTTGCTCAAAACTGCTACATCTGTGGCATTGTGCTGTGTAATAAAACTACATATTTTAGAGTGATATTTTATTGAGGCTAGCCTAAGGCACACCTGTGCCCTAAACACTTGACAAACATTTCAATTCTAGAGAAATACAGCAGTGACTTATTCAAAGCATCACCAAAAATGCAAGCCACTGCAGAGAGCAGAGAAAACTCTCCTATATCTGTGGAAGAAATGAAAAAGTAGCAAAAAGTTTAACAAATTAATTGACATGACTCTCAGGGCCGTCTTTCCCCATGGGCACACTGGGCAGTTGCCTGGGGGCCCCATATTCATGGGATCCCCGCCGCACTACCCAGCCTGCCCAGGCCAACAGGGGAGATCTTTTGAGAGAGGGGAGAGATGGCAGGAGGACCAGGAGGGAGGAGAGGGACCTGGAAGGAGATCGCTTCTCCCACGAGCTGGCCATGGCAACGCTCCACACAGTGCTCAGCTTGGGAGGAGTAAAGAAAGCCTGCAGCCACAAATTCCTGTGTCACAGTGACTCGGCATAAAACATAAAATATCAAAATACATAAAAAATACATACAAAACAAATAGGAACCCCCACAAATTATATATCATTAAATAGCCCT